TGGACAATAGATTATGCTTTAATCCTTCTACAAGTACAACATTAGTAATAGAGGGAAGGTTACCATTTCCAATAGTGCCAGATCTAATGATCTTGCCCTTCTGATTCCCTCCAAATTTCACGTCACCTCCAGATCTAAACTCCAGACTTTGGAACATAGACCTTTCTCCCGTCATATGTCGCGAGCATCCAGAGTCCAGGTACCATGACTGGCGTCCTGACCTTGCTGCTAAGAACATCTGCAACAGGAATTATTTTACTCTTAGGTACCCAGATCTTCTTGGGTCCTTTTGGGTTAGTTATTCTGAAGGTTCGTCTAAACTTCTGTTTTTCAACATAAGGTTTATTCTGACTAGCCTTAGATTTAAACACATGAATGTTCTTTTCAGAATGAGTGTGCTTAATATCATTCAAGTGACCAAATTTAAAATGGGAATATAAAGGAGTCTTCTTGATGATAATTTTATCAACAGGTTTTGGATTTAAATCCTTTCTAGAGGAAGATTTATATCCAACTCCTTTTCTGTTATTTCTGCTAACTCCGTAGATCATAGAAGCCATTTTGCTTCTGTCTATGCTTTTAGCAAGAAACTTCTGAAAGCTGTAGTCATACTTTTCTAAAATATTTTTGCATTCAGACTCATTTTCAGAATCAGAGTCTTGTTGAGCTAATTCAAAATCATTTTTCATTTTTAAGTTCTTTTCATTTAGCTCAGCCACTTCTGATTTGAGAATATTATTCTCAGATACAAGATTGCTTTGACGCTCCTTGTATTTGAGCTTAAAATTATTATAGCTCTTCAGAACCTCTGATAACAATTTGATAAGTTCATCTTTAGTGAGTTTAGCCATTACCTCTTCAGCGTCAGAGTCAGATTCAGATCCTGAAATTCCTTCCTCCTGATCTTCTATGTCTGCCATCAATGCTACGTTGGCACATTCTTCTTCTGCCTCAGATTCAGATTCAGATGTATCTGAATCATCCCAGGTTGCCATTAGAACCTTCTTTTTCTTATCAAATTTTCTTTTAGGCTTTTCTTTCAGAAGCTTTGGACATTCATTTTTGTAATGCCCAGGTTCTTTACATTCGTAGCAGACAACCTCCTTTTTGCCAGATCTTTTGTGTCCAAAAGATTCCTTTCTTTGGTCAGACTTCCTGAAGTTTTTAAACTTCTTTCCTTTATGCTTCCAGAGTTTGTTTATTCTTCTGGACAACATGGATAATTCATCTTCATCTTCAGATGAGGATTCTTCAGAGCTTTCCTCTATTACCTGCAACGCTTTAGCAGATTTATTAGATTTTAAGGCAAATAACTTACCTTTCTTTTGAGGCTCATCTTCCTCAAGTTCAATTTCATGGCTCCTTAGTGAGCTGATTAGTTCCTCCAAGGAAATCTGGTTCAGATCTTTAGCCATTTTCAGCGCAGTCACCATAGGTCTCCATCTGGTAGGTAAGCTTCTGATGATCTTCTTCACGTGATCAGCAGTAGAGTAACCTTTATCCAGAACCTTTAGTCCAACTGTAAGTATTTGAAATCTGGAGAACATGACTTCAACAGATTCAGCTTCTTCCATCTTGAAAGCTTCATACTTCTGAATTAGAGCCAGAGCCTTTGTTTCCTTGACTTGAGAGTTTCCCTCATGAGTCATCTTTAGAGATTCAAAAATATCACATGCAGTTTCTCTGTTTGTGATCTTCTCATACTCAGTATGAGATATTGTATTTCGCAATATAGTTCTAGCCTTGTGATGATTTCTGAATTCCTTCTTTTGGACTTCAGTCATAGATTTTCTTTCTATTTTCTTGCCATTTCCATCAATGGGATGAACATATCCATCTATGACCAAATCCCATAAATCAACATCATAACCAAGGAAAAAACTTTCAATCCTGTCTTTCCAATAATCAAATTTCTCCCCATCAAACATAGGGGGTTTTGTACTGATTCTGTCTCTTTCTTCATACTTGTTGGATGTTGAAACATCAGCCATTATAAACAGCAAATATAAGTATCAAAGTTTTTTCTCACTGGATCTTTTCTGTCACTGTGAAGTGGTAGCACACACAGAACCGGAGCTCTGATGCCAACTGAACGTGAGAAAATACTTAGAAGGGGGGTTGAATAAGTATGAAGATAAAACTTAGAAGTAAAAACTCAAGTATTTTTATCCTGGTTCGTTGAACTCAACTACACCAGTCCACCCTATCTAGAGTGATTTTCCTTTCTCAAACAAGGACTTAATCCACTATTTAATCAACTGATTACAATAGTAAGCACTAAGAACAACTGTTCAAAGTCTTCTCAAGAACTACTTATCCCAACTGGATCTTCTCAAGGAACTATTACAATGAAATGTAAGATTAGTACAAGTGTTTGAATGCTTCTAACAAGCTTTATCACAACAGTGATTTTTCACTTAATGTTAAAAACAAAAGAATAAACTCAGCAATAAGAATATTTTATGAGAGCTTGTAAGAGTTTCTATCAAAGATTCGTTATTTGAAGAAGATAAGGAAGACTTGCTTTTATATGCACAATAGTCCACAAAGTCTTGACGTTGGAAGCTGTGTACTGAAAAGGCATGAACCTTTTTGTCTTTACATTACATGACCTTTCCTGGAAGTAGAATGCACAGAGAAATGCTTTTGGTCTGTGTTCTAGTTTCAAGCATGAAAGAGGAAAAAGTCGTTGAGCCAAATCAAAAGATATCACTTTGAATTCTTCTTCAACAAGTATTTCATTTCAGCAAAGTAAACATCAGAGTCTGCATGATCAGAGTCTTGGATGCCCATCAGATTTTGCTGAATCAGAGTAATGCAGCAAGTGTGCTTTAGCGTGTAGTTCTATAAGAGCAGAGTTTTATGAATCAGATCCTCAGTACATGCAGCGTGTAGTACTCTCAGAGTCTTCTGAAAAATTGTGCTTCTTAACTCTCATACAAAGTTCTTCAATGCTTCAGAGTCTTCAGATCTATTAGAGTCTTCTGCTTCAGATCCTTTCTGCAGCTTCTGCTTCAGATTCTTCTGTAGCTTCTGCTTCAGATCCTTCTGCAGACAGCGCTCAGATTCTTCTATAAGATGATTCTGACTCTTCAAAGCCTTCCATAGTTCCATGTTCAGATTAATTTGCTCTTGGGTGTAGATATACTTTAATCATCTGCAGTAAATATTCATGAACAAATTTTAGAGTATATAATTCTTTAATACAAAATTTCATAAGAGTTATCATAAAAACATAGAGATATTACTAAGAAACAATCTGTGTTCTTACACATATGACTTCTGCCACGGAGTATCACATTTTTCATATGTTTGTGAATTTCAGCCGTAATGAGAACGTTTTCTTCGTCCGGGGTGGGTGTGGTCTTGGTTGAAAATATGCTTCATCTCTCTTCAAGAATAAAAATATCATTGATCAAAATTAAATAAATGAAAAAATTATAGAATGGAAAAAAGTTTTAAAAAAAGAAATAAAAGATTATTCTTAACTTGTGTCACAATTGACGGTTAATGGAAGTTGTAGATGTAAGTTTTTTTTGAGAGATAGAAGTTAACTATTCAATTAATAACCAACAAAAGTTACCAACTACTCATGTTATTTATAAAAAAGATAAAGGGCAATTTTGGAAAAAAAATAGGCCACGCCAAAAACTTGTATCCCCTTTATATATAGTTATAGATAAATCATATTTAATTTTTTTTATATACATTATTTTATAATAAAGAGACCTTAATCTATTAATATGAAGTAATTACTATACTATTTTATATTTTTACCAAAACAAATTTAATGCATTTCATTAACTAGTAAGTGTTCAATATAAGGAGGAGCTAAATTAAACGAAATACGCCTAGGCCATGAATTGACCGTCTTAGGAAGAGAGTGGAAAACCATTTTCGTTTGGTGTCTATTGAACTTTACCTCAAAGTTCGGATTAACAGATAACAAGGCTTTTCTAGAATTAAGAATAACATAAAACTCTGAATCACCGTTATAATTGGAGTCAATGACTTGAAAAATTTTCTGAGAATCACATTCGAAAACCACATTATCCAAATGCAAGACAATGGTTTCATGAATTGCTTCTTTTAAGAGCCATAGCTCCAGCTTCAAGCACAGACATAGTTCTGTGATCCCAAGCCACACTTGCTATAATAAAATTCCCACTATGATCACGCAAACACCAACCCCTATTAGAAGTGGTTATATGCTTATTAAAAGTCGCGTCCATATTATATTTCAACCAACCTTCCCTAGGCGGACTCTAAGAAGAAGGATACTGATGGTTATTAATGGGATCACGAACTTTTTGATCCATAAACCATTCCTGCCACTTGTGAAAAGCTAACCAACCAAGTTTAAAGGTTGCCTCTTGTTCATTGTGCCAAATGAGATTATTCATGTTCTTCCATATTTCATATAACATAAAAGCAAATCTACCTGCATCCTTCTTATCCTCCTTACTACAAATATCGAAAATAAGAGATTTAGCATCATAAAAAGAATGTAATCGAGCATCTATAAGAAAGGACGAACCTGCTGCCCTTCAATAATGGTTAATCTTAATACAACCAAAAAACATATGCCAACCATCTTCAAGATTATTATCATAAAACTAACAAGTAGCGGGACACTGAACATGGTGTTGATGGAGTTTAGCATGATTCAGTAAGTAGTCCATGCAAAATTTTCACAAGAGATGCTTAACCCTTGGTGGGGCTCTAATATTCTAGAGCCTATTCCAAACCTCATCCCCTCCCCATTCTCATACCTCCTCCGAAGATTCTTCCACAATCTATAACCAAAATGCACACTATAGACTCCATTTTTTTTCATCCTTTCAGATTATCCTATCCTCCTCGACCTCCTCCATAAGAGGTATCTGTAAGATTTCCTCGACCTCAGCGCAAGTAAACAGATCCCTAAAAATTCTTAAATCCCATTGTTTCACATTAGGTATCATAAGATTTCCAATAATAATTTCATACGTACCTTATTTCTAGGGACCACTCAGACACTTATCCCTCTTTCCCCTGATCCAAGGCTCATGCATAACCTTGATGTAACTACCATCCCCAATGTTCCACCTACATCCTAAAGATAAGACTTCCTTCGACTTCCAAATACTCCTTCACATAAAACTAGGATTATAACCAATGTTAGCTTTAAAGAAAGATGTTCTAGGGAAGTACCTTGCTTTGAGGATTCTGGAAACAAGAGCTTGAGGTTTGGATAACATGCTCCACCCTTGTTTAGCAACCATGGACATATTAAAAGCTTTAAAATCTCTAAATCCCAATCCACCTTCCTTCTTGGAGCAAGCCAGCTTATCCCAGGCCATCCAGTGGATGCCCCTATTATTGCTCCCTCCTCCCCACCAAAAGGATTTCAAAAACTTTTCAATATCATTACAAACTGTATCTGAGAGGATAAACAGACTCAAAACATAGGACAAAATGGCTTGGAGCACCGATTTTATCATAACTTTCTTCTCTGTTAATTGAATTACATGCTAATTGTATTAATTGTAGACTATATTTTTTTTACTAAAGTAAACTCAATGCAGTTCATTAATCAAATATTGTTCAATACAAGAAGAACTCGAATTAAAAACACTTCACGTAAACAAAGAATTGGTCTCCCTCGCAAGAGAGTGCGCAACTGATTTCGCTTGGTGCTTAATAAACTTAACCTTAAAGTTGGGGGAAACTTGTAACAACTGTATAATGGATATAATAATAAAACTAAATGTGGATCCACCATTGTGGTTGGATTGGATAGCTCAAACTACCCTTTGAGGGTCACTTTCGAAAATAACATTTTCCAAGTGCAAAGTGATCACACTAAAATTCACCGTATTTCTGACTCCGATTTCGCATGCATTCTTAGCTTTTATTGTTGTTTTGCTTTGTTATTGCTTTGTTTTCTTATGTTTTCAGGTTTTTATAATAATCGGAGCTTGAATCGGGAAAAGGAGCGAAAAAGGAGTGAAAACGGACGAAAACCTAGAAATTCAGCATTTTGCACTTGCGGCACCCACCGTGGCGGGCGCCATGGGGTTAGCCATGACGTGGCCACGTCTCAAGACCACTCCTCAACCTCCAAGACCCACGATCCCCACTCCATCATCCCCTGTAGGGACCATGGCGGGCGCCATGACCTTGTGGCGGGCGCCACAAGGCAAAATTTCATAACCTCCACTTTTTAGTGGAGGGGCGTCCCGGTCATTTCATGCTTTCAGTTTTTACTATAAATAGGACCTTAGATTTTCGTTTTTCTTCATCCAGAATTAGAATTCTCTAGGCATATATCAGTTATAAGGCAGTTGCCATTCCACATCGGGGTGCCTCTGCAATCGAGTGATCGAGTCTGTAATCTGTCTGTGGTTCGAGTTTTGGAGCACTCTGGAGGAAGTTAATCCTGCCGCCATTTTAATTCCAGTTAGTATTTTATTTTTCCGCATTGCTTTACTTTTATTTATTTTCTCGCACTTTACTTTGTTTATTTCCCGCACTCGCGCATTTACTTTGTTTATTTCCCGCACTCGCACATTTACTTTGTTTATTTCCCGCACTCGCACATTTACTTTGTTTACTTCCCGCACTCGCACATTTACTTTGTTTACTTCCCGCACTCGCTTTAAATTACTCATATGAAAAACTATAAAAAGAATATTTACTTTATCATGTCTAACTAATCCCATAAAGGTTAGAATGTAAGGATCGTAATTAAACCAGTAATCAGTATAATTGTTCGTGGAAACACCTAAGGGCTATTTTATCTTTCAATTCAAGTAATTGTTTTTAACTATTTCAAAAACAGCCAAAAGCGCTTTGTATAGTTCATTAGGAGTTTTTAGATTAAAAAGAAAAGAGATTTTAAAACGATTTTCGGACGCGTTATGAGATTTAGAGTCTGGTTCATAAGAACCTCTTTTTGCTAAGAAGTCCAGGTTAAAATACTTTTCAACTTTGTTAAGAAACTATATTTCTTAAAAATAGGTTTACTACTCTAACGCAGTACGCACCTTTTTATCCGTGACAATAGGAGGGGTTGATTAGAGAGTACAACTCGGTTCTGAATACGCGAAAGCGACAGTTCCTGTTAAATTAGTTCTTTTCAAAGGAGAAAACATTGCCCATAAGTAGTTCCACTAACAAGTACTGGATTATCATTGATTACGTGAATTACATTCGAGCCTGTCTTTTATTTATTATTTAAAATTATAATTTTATTTACCATTGCACCCTTACTAAAACCCTTAAAAATAGTTGCCTTAGATAAACACCATAACAACAGGTACGATAGATTGACACTTGGTCTCTGTGGATTCGATAATCTTTTATATTACTTTGACGTGATTCGTACACTTGCGAAAAACACGCATCAAGTTTTTGGCGCCGTTGCCGGGGACCAATATCGTCAAATTTCATTACCCTGTAGTTATACCGTTTAGACTAAGGTTGTTACCCACCGGTCAATGCGAAAGACTCGCAGTGCCGGAAGTTTAGTAGACCCTCTAGCTGAACCTGAACGTTACGCTCGCGCACGTTTATTTTTCCATAGGAATAGGAGAGCTATGGCCGAAGATCAAAATCGAAGACCTCTTAAAGACTTCGCCCAACCATCAAACGAGGAACCTAGTTCCAGTATAGTAAACCCCGCTATCCCAGCCAATAATTTTGAACTTAAGCCATCCCTGCTGCAATTAGTGCAACAGAGACAATTCGCAGGTCTCGCTACTGATAACCCGAACCAACATTTAAAAAACTTTCTTCAATTAGCAGACACCTTTAAAACCAATGGAGCTTCTCCTGAGGCAATACGCTTAAGATTATTTCCCTTTTCCCTCAGAGATAAAGCTCTATCATGGTTAGATTCCCTTCCACCCAATTCAATAACAACTTGGGATGACCTTAGAAAAGTTTTCCTTGCTAGATATTTTCCCCCAAGTAAGACCGCTCTTCTTCGAAACCTAATAACTAGATTTACCCAACACCAAGGAGAGTCGTTGTTCGAAGCCTGGGAGAGATATAAAGAACTATTAAGAGTATGCCCACACCATGGCCTAGAGAATTGGCTAATCATCCAAACCTTCTATAATGGACTTCTTTATAACACTAAAATGACCATCGACGCTGCCGCTGGTGGCGCACTGATGAACAAACCTTACCCTGAAGCTAGTGCCCTTATCGAGGATATGGCCCAAAACCATCAATCATGGGGAGTAGAACGAGCGACAGTGGAAAAGAAGGAAGCCCAAGGAGGAATACATGAGCTAAGCTCTATAGACATGATGCAGGCTAAAATGGACGCGTTGGCCCTTAGAGTCGAACATATGTGTACAACTCCGAATACTATTGCCGCAGTTTCGCCGAATTGTGAGATATGTGGAACGCAAGGACACCAATCCGCCGAATGCAATCTGTTGAATGAAACCAACACTGAGCAAGTGAACTATACCCAAGGGAACCCATTTTCAAACACATATAACCCTGGATGGAGGAATCACCCAAACTTCTCCTACAAAAATAATAACCCTACCCAAAATACCGCACCTCCGAGACAACAAGGTTACCAAGCCCCTAGAACAAATCAACCTATGCAACCTGTACCACCTAGCCCGAGCTTTGAGGAAGTTGTAAAAGATTTTATCGTTGCTCAAAAACAACAAAACAAAGAGTTCATGAACCATAAGGTCCATGTTAACGAACTAATTACCAAGTTAGGAACCAAGGTTGATCAAATTATTACTCATAATAAGATGCTTGAAACCCAGATCTCTCAGGTAGCGTTAAACCAAGCCCCACAGACTACACCTGGAGGACAGTTCCCTGGACAACCTCAACAAAACCCGAAAGGGCAAGCTAATGCCATTACTCTACGAAGTGGAACCGCTTATAAGGAACCTTTAAACCCTAGATTAAGTGAGCCCGAAACTTCTGAGAGGAATGAGGAAAAGGAACCAGAGAAGCCTGAAACCCCGGAAAGTCAAGAAAAAGGAGAAGAACCTAAAAATAAAACCTATGTACCGCCACCGCCATACAAACCACCAATACCTTACCCTCAAAGATTAAAGAAAACCCAAATCGATAATCAATATCAAAAATTCGTTAAGGTTATAGAAAAACTTCACGTAGAAATCCCCTTTACAGAAGCCATCACCCAAATACCTTCTTATGCTAAGTTTCTCAAAGACATACTTACAAATAAACGTAGACTCGAAGATCCGAAACCCGTGGAATGTAATTCTATTTCCGAAAATAGGTTAGCAAAGAAAGATAAAGATCCCGGAAATTTTTCCATTCCTTGTGTTTTGGGGAATCATGTCATCGAAAAAGCTTTTCTAGACTTAGGAGCTAGTGTGAGCTTAATGCCTTTAGCAGTTTGTGAGAGATTAAACTTAGGAGAATTACAACCTACTAAGATGTCACTTCAATTAGCCGATAGATCCGTTAAATACCCTATAGGCATACTTGAAGACGTCCCTGTTAGGATAGGTCAGCTGTTTATACCTACTGATTTTGTTGTCATGGACATTAAAGAAGATGACGACATACCAATCCTCCTAGGTAGACCGTTCTTATCGACTGCTGGAGCCGTAATAGATGTTAAAAAGGGAAAACTAACTTTTGAGGTAGGTGGCCAGAAGATAGAATTTATATTGTCAAAATTTCTTATGGCACCTGTGATAGGAGATTCTTGTTATGCCTTAGATATCATCGAAGAATGTATTAGGGAATTAGAACAAGAAGAAGAAACTGAATCTATAAAATTGCCATCAACCCTTATTTTGGAAGATGACAATTATAAAACACCCTACATTGATGATAACCTTCACGAATGTTTATCTCTTACCCCAGATCCTATGCCTTGCCCTATAAAACCGACCGTAAAACTTAAGGAACTGCCTAAAAACCTGAGATCTGAATTTCTTGATGAAGATATGAACCGTCCAGTTATAGTCAGTGCTACCTTAAACCAAGAAGAAACCGATCAATTATTAGAAGTTTTACGTAGGTACCCCTCAGCCTTAGGATATAAGATCTCTGATCTAAAAGGAATAAGCCCATCCGTATGCATGCATCGGATTTTGCTTGAAGAAGATTCAAAACCTTCTAGAGAACACCAACGTAGAATAAATCCTATAATGAGTACTGTAGTTAAGACTGAAGTTCTTAAGTTACTAGAGGCAGGTATAATATATCAGATCTCGGACAGTAAATGGGTGAGTCCTGTGCATGTAGTACCTAAAAAGGGAGGCATCACAGTCGTGCAAAACGAGAAGGGCGAACCTGTAGCAAAAAGAACTGATGGAGGTTGGCGTATGTGCATAGATTATAGAAAATTAAATAAAGCAACTAGGAAGGACCATTTCCCATTACCATTCATAGACCAAATGTTGGAGCGCCTAGCCAGACACTCTTACTTTTGTTATTTAGATGGATATTCAGGATTCTTCCAAATACCTATTCACCCCGA